ATAGATTTGCGCCTGAAGTAAAGACATAGTTGGACGAGAAAGCCGTTCGATGAGCTGGGATTGGGTACGTCGATCAATAGTTTGATAGCCGTATAGTTTTGGGGTTGGAAGATGAATCGGACGCAATTTATACAAACTGCTGGTCATTATTTTTTCTCTCGTAAATCCCGGTCTGTTTCAGATCTAGTGAATCGACACAGCTTAGTTGCACAGAGTTCGTGTACTGTTCTCTAGCGGGACAATTATATATGCTCACAGTGAACCAGTCAGGTCAAACTCTGGTCTGACCTTGAATTTAAGTGCAATGAAGCATTGTACGGATAACAATCACGATTCTTTTAATAGCCAGATGCTCCGTTGTGAGTGAGTGAGTGAGTGAGTGAGTGAGTGGATGATTTTGTATTCCAACAATTGAGAAGAATGCTTTACCACGGACAATGTCAATTTTCCTCTAGACAGATGTGCGCTTCTGCTGCCATCCCCATACAACCGGATTAGTTCACCTGGAGGGATGGCATTGCACTCTGCAAATGAAGACCTAGATAGCCTTCTAACGCAATCAGACATTGGTTACACTCAATAATAGGGGCTCGAATAAATGTCACATATACGTCATGTAGGATGGCTAACACAACAAAATCAAGTCGAACAACACACATACATGCAAAACCACCGTTATATGAGTTACTAGAATTATACGAATCCAGAGAGTTCACTCGCTACAATGAATCGGTAATCGATGACTCTGCAGGACCGAAGTGATTTTTTTTTATCAAACGAGTAGAACAAGATGATAATCAGTAATTATTTCAGTATTTCTTTTTCTCATTTGAACTTCCTTTTATGAAATATACACAAAGATACAATTTTCATCTAGGTGAAAGTGGCCAATCAAAGGGCTGTCAGACAACACAAGTCAGACGGTGGTGGTAGTGGGATACGAACACACGTCCTCCGGGGTCGATAATTAGTTGACGTTATGTGGTGACCGTGTAACGTGTACGCACGCACCGCGGTACAGCGTCCAGGTAACCAATCAAGAAGCGGGATAACCGACCAACCCTGTGGTCTCAATTGGCATCATCCGGATTGGCTGAGTGCAAGAAGGCAAACAGATAAACCATATCCTTGTCGATTAGACATTCAAGAATCGACCAATGATTGTTTGTTGCTTGTAATATATATTTCTATGATTTTCTGAATAGAATTAACTGTATCCACAGCCCGTCTTGGTTCTACCTGACTTTGCACTATTCAGTGGGTTTTCAGTCCGATACCGAGTTCGCGCTATTCGATTTCGATTCCTATTCCGAATACTACACGTTACCACCGAGCCACCAACGTCTGGAGACTGTAGCTGAGAAGAGTAGTAATTGCAAAGTTCACCATCATCACCACCACCACCATTGGTTGTGCAATTGCATAAGAATTGTTCGTTCACCCTAAGTCAGTCATTTAGATCTAGGTAATTACGTCCGATCGATACGATAAAAATGTATGTCAATAAATCTTATAAATTTCATTCACCCCTAGATAATTAAAAAACCATCTGATCATTGTAGTGACAGCACTCATTCCCTCTTGGATTCGGCCACAGAAACTGCGTATGTGAGAGTTCATCATATTGGCTGGAATTCCACGACGAGCCTGAAGAGTAAAGGGATTGCCCGTCAGTCGATTCTCAAGCTATACAAAACCCTCATGACCGATCACTTTGGCGATGCGTCACAAACAAGCGGAATCGGTTCATGTGTGAGAGTTGAATTCTGCTAGACCATGAGCCAAACACCAAGTGATACTGACGTTAGCTTACTGCGATTCAATAAAATATTATATAATAAAAATGAATCGTGCAAATGTAATGATTCTAATAGTAGTACATTCTAGACTGAAACACTTTCGTAGTACCCACATCACAAACGATGCAGTTGGTGTCTTAGTTAGAAACACTTCAGGCCATTTTGAGTACTAATCGATAAGTACTAGTGCGTGGTAATGACCGAGAAATGGTCCACAGAAGTCAGCGTGCACGCGTTGCCAAGGAATGCAGCTTTCTGGCCATGGAACCCAATTCTTCGGTTTTAATCTGTGCTTTTGTAGGCATGCTTCGCAGTTCTTAGCGGCTCGGCGAATGTCTTCATCTAGACCGGGTCACCGGGCCACATCTGTCTTGCCAACGACTTGATCTTCTCCAACCCTAAGTGGACCTTGTGCAGGTCTTCTAGCACTGCCTTGCGTAACGGGGGTAGGATGATCAGTCGATCGTTGCGGCATAGTATTCTGTCAGGTTGGACACTGATTTCTTCACGATGTACATAGAATGCTGCGAACTTCCTCTTCAGGTCGGGACGCCATCCTTTTGACAGGGTTGTTTTGATTTCTGCATAGTATCTTTTGGTACATCGGCGCAACTCCTCTCGTGATACCGGGGCAGCAGTGGCAATGAAATGGCACCTCTTAGCCGCCGAGAATTTGGACCACCGCGAGAGAAAATCGGCTTGAGGAATTGTTTTACCCGGACGGTGCACTATATCGTAGTCATAGGCAGCCAATGCAATGCTCCATCACTGAATCATCGCCACCGTCGGTTTGGAGATCGACTTTTGTGGACTGAATAGATATTGCAACGCCTGATGATCGGTTATGATGGTGAAACGCAATCCAAACAGGTATTTGTGTAGGCGACGGACGGCCCAATACACAGCCAATGCTTCTTTCTGTGTCTGCGAATATCCTCGTTCTGCTTTGTTGAGTAGACGGGAGATGCAAACAATCGGACATCCGTTCTGTTCGAGTACAGCACCAATGCCAACATC